TTACTAAAAGGAAGCCGCCAACCCTAACATCAGAAGTTTCCAAGCAGATGATTTAGCAATAAAGCAAACACTATGCTGATGATTTGCTCCTCAGATCCTGACATTGCTATTAATAGGGTGTTTTTCTCTAATATTTCAGAATACAGGATGAAATGAGCAAAAAAGTGGGGTTTTGCCTCTTACTAAATTCTGCTTCCCAACCCATTTTATGTGTTCTTTTCTGTGATGGAATGCACAAGGATTTAAGTTCTGACTTTAATTCAGCAATAAACTAAAAGGTAGAAAACTTATTAGTCCTTATTACCTGCTGGGGGCACTTAGAAATAATAAAAATGGTCTTAGTGCCTCAGTTAACAAATGTGGTTTATATGTGGTCCCTTTCATTTCCTTCTACCTTTTCCGTAAGTATTTTTCTCTCTGCTTAGGTTACATTTTCTTAAGCAGGTTTCCCTGCATTACAATTTGGCACACATAAGTCTCAATGCCCTGCTCTGAAATCACATGATGATATCTGTCTTAGTCTATGTTGCTTCACTGCTTTTGCAGTTTTTGCTCCCCTCTCTGCAGCTATTCAAAGTTGGGCCCTTACTTAACAATTTATAAGGGTTGTTCACTATTGCTGTGAGTATGAAGGGTGTTGATAGTAAGAGATCACGTTTCACGGTGCTGATAGTAAGATATCACATTTCAGGAATCAGTCATTTTTAATACCAGAAGCTCTAATCATGTTATCTAGTACATAGCTGCACAGTGCACTGGAGATAGAAAGTGCTAGAGGTCTATAAGGACTAGTTATTTTTAGCTGTTGTTACAATAAAAGCACCTATGTCACCACTTCACCTTTTTACTTACTCTGGGTGAAACACATCCCTGTGGAGAGGGCCAGCACAAGGCTCATGTGCCACTGAGGTCGTACTTGCACCCTCTTTTGAGGGAATTAAAATGATATGTAGGTATGGTGTTGATATGATGTGTAGGCCCCTTGGTAAAGGTCCCCTGTTCTTTGCAAACAACTCTTGTTTCAGACTTAACAAACTCACTGCACCGAACACATCTCTTCCAGGTTATTTATCCAGAAGGGATAACATAAGGTATCCACAGAAAGCTTATAACTTATCGAAACTCATAATCATTGTGAGATGTGTGTATCGATAGTACTTAAGGAATAATGTAACTATAGTGAAAGTATGCTTTGTGGACTTCAAGTAAAAGTCAGTAACCAGGGGATAATGTCGTGGTGCAGGAGGGAGTTGTCACCTCTGCCTGGTTAGCTGGTGATGTAATGCAAAGTTCAGTGGGCTAGCCTTGCTCCACCCCAGGACTATCAATGGAAAACCATCAGAGACAACTGCAAATAATCAAAACCACTTGGAGGTAAAAAAAAAAAATATTACAATAGACAGGGGATCACCCTGCCTGTGAATAAAGACAAAAGACTATTTCAGTATAACACACAGTGGGGAGGGGCACTCTGTATCCATTAACGGAGGAGACATTATGGAGCAGGGGTGTTTTCATGAAAGTTTGCATCCTGGTTCCTATAAAACCAGTCGGCTCTCCGATAGACTGAATGGTGAGGGGAACACCTACTTTACTACATAGGAAAGGTTTCAGAGTAGCAGCCATGTTAGTCTGTATCCGCAAAAAGAAAAGGCATGTCTCTAAGGTGCCACAAATACTCCTTTTCTTTTTACATAGGAAAGGTGACTGTTAATAAGTGTAGGCATTTTATGTAGTTCGCATTTTATGATTTTGTTTTGTATCATAACCACTTATTTCTACCACTCATTTGTTTCTAGTGGAATCTCTATTCCTTCTTAAATAAACCTTCTCTTGTTTTATTACAAGTGCTGTGTGTTATACAGGCACAGTGATTCAAGGTAAAACTAGTAGACGAGGGTGAAGTGCTACTATGGGGGCAGAGGATCTGGGATTTCTGTGAGAAGCCAGTGTCAGGGGCTGGATATCACAGGGGAATGCTTCAAAGGGATGTGGGGCGCACCTATTGTTAACCTGCAAGGCAAAGACAGAGCTGGCATAGCTCAGAGACTAGTGCTTGAATGGCAGACAGGCTGGTGGTGTTAGGGAGCTAACAATCCACCTGCTACGGGCAAGGCCACCTCTCACTAAAGGCAGGAGGTAACAAGGTGACTCCAGTCCTGGGTACCCCAAGGACAGTCACAGTTGACCATCTGCCGAGAGATAATTTAATCTGTGTATGGATTTTGTCACATTATTATTAAGGCATCTTTCAATATTTGGGTACTGTCTTGGGCTAGTGCCATCTTTGCTGTACTCCATTAATGTATTTGGCCCTGAGACTTTTCTCCCGTTACACAGAAAAATACTAGACTGTGTCCTCTATAATTCTGTTTGGTTCCAATTTTGTGCTAGTCCTCTACAGTATCTGTTGTTGATAGGTGTTCTGTCACAAGATTCTCTTGCTCAATTTCACATTTATTCGGAGAATCTGCAGTTTGATTTCTTCTTGTGCATGTTTTGCGCTAAGGTATCCTCTATCTCAGATTGTTTCACTAATACCAGTTGTATGTCTAATACAACATCAGTACTACATGTAATCAAGGTTTCAGAGTAACAGCCGTGTTAGTCTGTATCTGCAAAAAGAAAAGGAGTACTTGTGGCACCTTAGAGACTAACCAATTTATTTGAGCATAAGCTTTCGTGAGCTACAGCTCACTTCATCGGATGCATACTGTGGAAACTGCACGAAAGCTCACGAAAGCTTATGCTCAAATAAATTGGTTAGTCTCTAAGGTGCCACAAGTACTCCTTTTCTTTTTTCATGTAATCAAGGTTGACTTTATGCAACACTTTGCTTAAAAGATTTTAAAAATTTAATTTATACCTTGTAGAGTTGGGGTTTTTGACTTTGTCATGAAATCAAGCATTTGGAAAATAAGTAATCCTGAATGTGTATTTCATAGATGGGCAGTGTGTATAGAGACCTGCCTCACTCTTTATATAGCAGTTCTGCTTGCCTTCAATCTCATTAAAATTGCAGATCCTTTGGGAATTTAAGTCATGGTTTGATTATGCCTCAGGTTAACCACTTTAGCTCTTTTTTGGTAGTCTTCAAAGTCTAGTTTTCATAAACTTTAAACAGTTGTGAGCTATCTCCTGTCAGATGTTCATGAGGCAGTATAAATGTATTGTGTTTTGACAATAAAGCACCATGTCAGTGCACTTAACTCTCTGAATTTGGGTTGACTAATGATTCATGAATACAATTCAGCTGGTTTTAGGCCTTTTATATTTAACTACTTGATAGCAATTGACTTCATACTAGGAGACCTGGAAAACCAAGCTCCTAGTAGAAAATAATTGGCCTCCAGTTTTCACAAATGTGCTACCACATTCCAAAAATGAATGTCTGGCTGGAAACCCCTTTATTTATTTAATAACATATAGCACTTGTCTTTTCAAAGGGTCACACCAACAGTAAGTCTCTCAATAAACCTCTGAAGTAGGTAAATATTATCCCCATTTTACAGATGATGCACAGAGAAGTTCAGGTTAAAATTTTACAAAAGATTTTGTGTGCCCATCCTTGGTCTGATTTTTCAGAAGTGCCGGAATATGCCACACCAATTGAAATCAAAGGGAGCTGTGAAAATTAGTACCAAGGTGACTCAAATTGGACACACAACATCTCAGTATATTTTAGCTTATGTTACTTTGGCAGAGTTTGGAATAAACACAGAAGAAGCCTTTGACTCCCACTCCCCTGCTCTTTTCTGTGCAATCTATTGATTGTCATATTTTGTTGCAAAGTGCCCATGAATGAGTATTTTTAATATTACTGAACAGTGGAATCTTCATATTAGCATAATGGAATGGAGACTTAATAAGTAGAACATCCCTCTAACATTTTAACATTTGAACAAATGGAAGGCAGCAAACTGAGGGCTTGATCCTGTAATCTCAGTATACCCAGAATTCCCGTTGTCATAAATGGGAGTCTTGGAGTGTGCAAAAAATTCAGGATCAGGTCCTTACCTTAACAGATGATCCCCAACTCCAGTCTGGCATCCATGCTGCAAGGTCATATTTTTGAAATACTAATATTCCATGGAATAAAATGTAGTAGTGGGGATGTAACCAATACCTCAGCCAGCACTGGTGGTGCATTTGGCTCCATCTACCTGGTTCTGGTACATAAAGTAGTGGAAAAATGATTAATAAAGTTTACAGGACGTGTGTTCCTATTTTTCCATTTGTAAGCAATCCAAGGGATCTCCAGAATGGTGACAGGAGGAAAAGGCCATTTGTATTATGGTGAATTCCTTTCAGGAAGCTATTGTAAATCTGATGTAAATATTAACATACGACTTCATTTTTATTATTAAAATTTTAATTTTTTTCATATTGCAGTCTTATTCCAGAGGGAAATTTTTGGGACTTTTCCAGTGTGATGCCACAGGATTTGCCCATAAAATGATTGAGTGGAATCTCTGAACTGAATACATTCTAAATGATGCCATTGACATGAGGTACCATTGTGAAGTGCCTTGGCGTGGACATATAAAAGAGGTGAAGGGAATGCAGGAGTCTCCCTCCCACCCTCTTGACATCCTGCACAAGATCAAGACACAGAAGCAATCCCTGAACTTGGGGAGCAGAGAGTTATCTCTAGAGCCCTCACAGGTTCAAGTACAATACAGTGGATACCCAGCCAAATCCAAGACATAAACATGTTGCTGTTTTGCTTCATTGTGGCTTTGAACTGCATACCAGAACCAGCAGCACTCTTGCAATTGGCTCCCTTTGGGCTGATGCTTCCCTGTGCCCCTCTGGTGCAATTCAGAAACAAAAAAGGGGCACAGAACAGCAGTAAGCAACAAATATGTGAAGATAGCTAACAGTACTTAGCAAACAGGACTCGATCATTGACTGGTTCCAAGGTGATACCATAATTGGTAAATATAATAATTATTTATTTCATATCCATTAACAGTAAAACTCTCATGTTTCTTTTTCAGGCATCTTGTTTTCACTGGTGGTCGTGATGTATGTCATCTGGGTCCAGGCAATGGCTGATCTGGAAAACTACATGAATATGAAAAAAATTGATTGCCCAGACTTTGTTGCTTATGTGCACTATGGCTGGTCTTTCATACTGGCTCCTATAGGAATATTTTTTGCTTTGATTGCAGGAATGCTCTTCCTATTAGTAGGGCGTACTATTCACCTGCACTCTGACTTATCACACATCTAATAATGGGTATACTGGGATTGTGATAAAACTTTTAAACTGGAACACAAATTATGTACATTATTGCCGCTACTACTATATAGCGTTTGTAGAGGCACTTCTAGAATTGCTTACGTTACTTGTTTAATTGAGACGTTCCTATGGGACATAAAACTCAGTATAGGGAAAAAAATAACTTCATTCCTATCCAATTTCTTTAAGTTCTTTAGGTACTACATGGAATGGTTCTCCACATAACATTAGTTGCAGCATTAGATCTCCCTGCAAACACAGGAGGGCAAAAAATCACCAACAACATAAAAATGGGTCAAATCAGGATTTTCTACATTTGTCTTAGCCATTTACTTTGTGCCACTGTCAAAAAAGTCCTTGTGGAGAATGGTAAAGACAGAGGAAAACAAGTGTTCAACGGAGTAATTTAATCCACCTCCTCTCCCCCTTTCCAAAACTTTCCTTTGCTTTACTATGAACAAACACTTCTGCACTTAAAAATAGAGTACAGTTGTTCATGCAGTATCCACGTGAACTGGGCAGTAGAGAAGATGATTCCAGTGAATAGTGATTTGGGGCTAGTATCTACATGTAATAGCTTAACTGTCAACATGATATGTTTTACTGCTATGTAAACATTTGAAAGCCGTATTCTTCTATATTCTGAAATCTGTGTTCATTTGTGGCATGGTTCTGTAAACCAAAATAATATAGTTAAACTACTAACTAAAGGTATGCCAAAATTATATAATAACACATATGGTGTACATTTTTTAAATCAAGTTTTTACCAGAACATTTTGTAGGTATGTTTGATGATTGGCTTTTTCAAACATTATCCATGATTTACATACTTTAAATAGTGAAAAATTGCTGTATAATGAGATTTTTAATTAAAAATGTTTATTATGAACACAATATAAAGTGCATGAACATGTATGTCTTCTGCAGCCCTCAAATGTCTAAATATTTGTATATGAAATCTACAACATGATAGACCAAATCCTGCTTTCCTGCAAAGAGCCCCAATGAAAGCAATGAGACTACTCCAGTGAGGAGGGAAGCAGGATTTGGACCTACATTATGTAACTGGGGATAGCTGGCTGTGTGTATTTGTGCCTGCATGCATGAGTGTAGGTGCTTGTATTCCTAAAGCGGAGGGGGTAGAGTTCTAATATTAGGGAAATTTCTTTCGCTTGGGACTAGTTCTGGTTGAAATTCAATTCATCTGAGAGCATGGGTAGAGTCTGCACTTTGTAACTCAGTGCAAAGTAGTCTTGAGTTGATGGAGAAACATAAAGATTGTATGTTGGTTTCTTCTAGTACCCAGTGCTTCATTCCACAGCTGTTATGAGTACTAATGGCATCTCTAACTGGCAGGAAAGCAGTGACCTCTTAGAAGATGTGGTGGGATAGATTGTCTGTTGCTTCCAATCCAGCAGCAATCCAAATTAACTCTTCCCTCCCGCCCCCTGCCGATGTATTATGATCCTGTCCTGAATTACATGATCATATGCTGTTTCTCAAATAATACAGTATGTCCTCTTTTTTTCTCTATAACCTTAGATATTCAATGGCAATTGTGTGAGTCAATTTGATGATCAAGAGCTATTTGACTAGAAAACATTGGCAAGCCCTGTCCAATGCTCCCCAGGAAGGAATCCTTCTCCACAACCCCTTAGGAGGTCCGCAGGGGTGACACACTTCTCTGCAACCCTTAGAAGCTGTGGAGTGCTGAGAAGCCTCAGAGCGGGGCTCCTTCCTGTAAACCTTACAATGTATGCAAGAGCAACTAATAGATTCTTCAAGGAATGAGCCAAAGGCTCCTGGGGAGCCCTTAATTCAGCCTATGAGCATTTTCAGAACTCTTTCTATTATGTAGCTAAATTGGCTAGCTACCTACATGCAATTCAGCTTTCCTTAATGGTGCACTCTGGGCCAGACTGTGGCATAATCTAAATAGGAGGATAAAGGAGAGATGTACAATATGTCATTCCCATACCTTTCACTTGAAAATTCAGTGCTGCCTTTTTACTGAACTTTGGAATCTTGCCTTTCTTTGAATGGATTATGTTGCTCATGTCTCAGCAGCATGATAATTTTTAGTAAAGGCTTGAATATTCCATTTAGCTGGTTACCCTCACTTTCTAGCACCTTTGTGCGTGTACTAAATGGCTGAGTTTCAGGACATTTTCACTCAGATTCACACTTTGGAATTATTTTACCATTGTGATGTAGCAATTACTTCAATTTCCATCATCTTTTCTGCTCTTATGGCAGAACTCAGGTGGCGAGGGGAAGAACGGTGGCTTTTTTTGGTTGAAACCCATTTTTCTCATTTATTCAAATTACAGTAGTCAGATATTTTGTTGAGACATCATGGGCCAGATCCTCATCTGGTGTAAAACAGGGTAGCTCTATTAAGGACAGTGAAACTCTGCTGATTTACACCACCTGAGGATCTGATTTGGTTGTTTGGTTCTACTGCCGGTTGAGTAGTCTCTCCAATTTCCATAAAAAAACATTGGGGCCAGATTGTCACTACAAGCCCATACAAGGACTAAAGAGAGAGTAAGACCCCACCTTACACCTGTCATGCACGCTACTTGGGCTAGTTGGGTTGAGAGGGGCTTTGTTTGCACACACTCCCAATACAGCAGTCGGAGGGTCTGAGCCACTGAGCAGAATGTTATGATATGCTGCTGTTGTAGACCAGCAGTAAAGTGGGGGAAAAAGGGAGGGAATGGTGCTCAGAGGTGCTGTTTCCTGATGCGTCAAGCTAAGAACACTGCCTTTTTCTCAGGGCTGTGCCTAAAAGCCTTTGGTACTTTGGTTTTCAATAAATTTAATTACAGAGAAACATCCTTTTAAGGACTCCAGGAAGGGCAAGCTAGCTAGAGAGTCTTGCTCTGTGGTATTCTTCAGATTTAATGTTTATCTGGAAACGCTGGTGGAGACACCAGTATTTTTGTGATTAGAGCACAGTAAAAGATTTTTTAAAAAGGTTAAATGCCTTAATCTAAATATCTGGTGAAATTCGTCAAATGAATTTTTCCCAACCGTATCTGTATTTTAATTGACCTCTCAGCTGACCAGTCTGTGGGAAATAGTGAGAAAAAAAATGTTTATCAACTAATTTATCTGGAAAAAGATTGTGAAAGGGGACGAATAAATAATAACAAATATTTTGTTACCAGATCTTATCACAGGACTATGTTGGAGGCTGGAGGTGTTACTAGGAATCTTGGTCTCCAGCGAAAAGGAGGCTGCAAGGGGCATTCACTTTGTGGAGAACAATGCAGAGGCGACACTGTGGAGCAGTGGCTCTGCCAGCCATTTGATGCAGCTGTTATTGGGTCCAGAAGAAGGGACTGACACAAAATGGCAAATGCTGCTGTAGCTGAGATTACAATGAAAGATTCTCCCTAGTTTATTCTAGTTTCTAGGCAGGTTGCTGGAGTTCCGGCTGAGCATGATCTTCATTAGGTTCCTGGTAATTTATTAATATTTAAATTAGTGAGACAAAGGAATTATCTCCTTTGTGGAAACAAAGAAAGAATCTGGTTTTATTACTCTGCAGGGTGTTCAGCTATTAGTCACAAACTCCAAAAAAGCCCCACGATGTGTTAGCAAACTGTTAATAACAGAACATGTGAGTAATAGCTGTGCTGCTTTCCACATCCTTGAACAGCTGCTTATTCTCTTTGAATAGGTGATCCCAAGTTACAGGTGTTAGGTGATAGGTTGTCACAACCCTTACTCAGTCATGCAAGGAAGTGAGGCAAAGTTAAAAAGCTGGGCATGCTTGAGAAAAGAATACTGAGCAGGGACCAGATAACAGTCTACAAATATGTTATAAAGAGTATCATGATCAGTTGTTCTCCATGTCCACTGAAGGTAGGGGAAGAAATAATGGACTTAATCGGCAGCTAGGGAGATTTAGGTCAGATATTAGGAAAAACTTTCTAACTATACAGATAGTTAAGTTCTAGAACAGGCTTCCAAAGGAGGTTGTGGAATCTCCATCACTGGAGGTTTTTAAGAACAGGTTGGTCAAACACCTATCAGGGATGGTCTCCAAACTTTTTACGCCCAAGATCACTTTTTGAATTTAAGGGCAAACCAGGACCTACCTCTCCCCTTCCATGAGGCCCTGCTCCTTCCCAAAGCCCCACCCACCTCACTCCATCCCCCCCCCGTCACTCACTCTCCCCCACCCTCACTCACTTTCACCGGGCTGGGGAAAGGGGTTGGGGTTTTTAAGGGGGGTGCAGGCTCTGGGCTGGGGCCAAGAGGTTTGCAGTGTGGGAGGAGGCTCTGGGCTGAGCTTGGGGGTTGGGGTGCAGGAGGAGGTGATGGGTGCAAGCTCTGGGAGGGTGTTTGGGTCCAGGAGGGGGCTCTGGGCTGGGGCAGAGTGTTGGGGTGCAGGAGGGGGTGTGAGGTGCTGACTTTGGGAGGGGGGACAGGGCTGGGGTTTGGGGTGCAGGAAGGGGTTTGGGGTGCAGGAGGGGGTATGCAGTGCTGACTCTGGGAGGGGGGTCATGGCTGGGGCAAGGGGTTGGGCTGCAGGAGGGGATTTGGGCTGCTGGCTCTGGGAGGGGGCTCAGGGCTGGGGGTTGGGGTGCAGCCTGCCACTGGGTGGCACTTACTGCAGGCGGCTCCCATTGGGTGGCACAGCAAGGCCAAGGCAGGCTCCCTGCCTGTCCCAGCCCCACGCCACTCCCGGAAGGGGCCAATGCATCTCTGCAGCCTCTGGAAGGAGGAGCGGGGGGGCACGTGGCTCTGCACACTACCCCTCTCTGCAGGCACCACCCCCAAAGCTTCCATTGGCCACAGTTCCCCATTCCTGGCCAGTGGGAGCTGCGGGGGCAGTGCTTACAGGCAGAAGCAGCACATGGAGACCCCTGCCAGCCCCCCCCCCTCCCCCGGGGGTTGAGGGAGAGTGCTGACCACTTCTGGGAGTGGTGTGGGGCCGTGGCAGGCAGGGAGCCTGCCTGAGTGGCAGCCCTGCTACACCACTGAAGAGTGCGATCGACTGAGAGAGTGCCCAGGATCGAACAGTCGATCACGATCAACGGGTTGGTGACCACTGGTCTAGGAGGTTTGGAATACATGACCTCTTGGGGTGCCGGCCAGTCACACATTTCTATGATTCTAAGCAAGAATCAGTAAGCTGCCCCCCACCCTTACTCCCCTGCATGGTCCTGCTCAGATTGTGTCCCCAGCTGAGGAGTAGGGAAGAGAAAGAGCTACGTATACAACACTCTCCTCTGTAGGTGGGCGGGGGGCGGGGGGGATGGAGCCAGAGTCTCCATGAAGTCCACCAGGATCTTTGATATTTCTAATTGATTTTACAGGAAAGATACTGCACTGATGGGCAGCGGCATAAAACCTTAAAGTAGGCAGAGTGGAAAAAGCCCTGCTTCTGTGCCCCACCTCTCCCCACTTGTCAACCAGAGTAGCTGGCCAGGTGCACAGGGAGTTTAAACTGCTCCATTAAAAGGATGAAGTAATGAACTCTTCCCCATAGCAAGGGGGAACCGTGATCATTTGAGTCATAATTCAGTCCCTAGTCTGTTCCTGAGGCAGTGCAGCTGTGTGCTGCTCCTTACTCAGGACAGACTGTAAAGTTACAATCCTAGCCCCTGTGAGTAACTGCTCACCAGTAAGAATAAGGGGTTCACAATCTGGACCTAAAGGACTACAAAATATTCTCAAAAAGAAAAGGAGTACTTGTGGCACCTTAGAGACTAACAAATTTATATAAGATATATATACATAAGCATAAACTCTAATAAATTTGTTAGTCTCTAAGGTGCCACAAGTCCTCCTTTTCTTTTTATGGAAACAGACTAACACGGCTGCTACTCTGAAACCTGTCAAAATATTCTCACTGCACAAAGCTGAAATTCACTGTCCTCTTAAATGGGAATAGCTTTACTTAGCCCCACCCCAAGGCTGGAATTTGAGCTAGTAACAGCTGAATTCAGAAGGCTGAGGCACTAAAGTCCAGTGATTTATGAATCAGACACTATGCCACAGTCTTGCCATAGAGGATTGTAATGTCTTGAGCATGCTAGCTACTGAATAGCTTGAATCAAATGTACCATTCTGCGGGTACAATTAAGAATTCTTTCAAATTGAAACAAGGTACATACCATGTTGGGATGCAGACTTCCACAAACTGGCTTGCTTGCACTGTTCAAAAAATGGACTGTTTATATGTGTTCAAGAGAGAGCAAAACCCTGCCTCAGTATACTAATTAGAACACTAACTTATTCATAGAGTCATAGATTTTAAGACCAGAAGGGGCCACTGTAATCAGCTTGTCTGACCTCCTGTATATCAAAGACCATAGTATTTCCTTGTTTTAATTCCTGCTTCATGATCAATAGCTGTACTTGAA